CACCACCATTGTAAACTCCGTGAAGGCAGAGGCTTTGTAGGTCTTACTAATCCCAGGGCCTAGAGTCACATAGCTGGCGCTCAATAGACATATGCTTGAGAAACAAATTATGAAAAGGAGGCCCAAAGAGGTTAAAGGATTTCCTCAAGGTCACAGCAGCAGGCAAAGCCAGTACTAGAACCCTGTCTCATCTTCCCAGAGCCACTTCCACTACACCAAAGGAGCCCATTCCAGCATATGATTCTATTTAACAAATTTCTCCTTTTCTTTTTCTTCAAGTGCCAAAGAAAATGCATGTTACCTAAAAAAGTGACACACTGGGTGGTATTTTAACTTAAAGTGTTTCCCCAACCAAAACTAGTTTCATGTTTTGTAAAAAAATCAGATTAGCCCATAAAACAGAAAAGCACAGCCATTCATATTTCTTTAAACTCCTGGTGAAATTTGTGTATGTCTTGGAAGTTTCAAGATCAGCCACTGAAAACCTACTTACCAATTCAGAACAGCCTGTAAAGTATCTGCCTCACTTTCATTCTTCTAAAAAGCCATAAAAGCTCCTCCCTGGATATACTTATCTTGCAGACTATGCACTGAAAAACAACGTAACTAACTTTAAAGCCTCTATAGTTCTTTTTAAGTACAGAGTATCTCACAAAATATTGCATAAAACTAGCCCTTGGAAAGTTTTAGATTTTGAGAACAGGAACCATATCTGGGGTATCATCTATCAGACTGTGATCATCCAATTCCTTCCTTCAAACTCCATGAACGTGAACTATCTCAAAGAAACGCGGGGGAGGGAGGAGGGGGTGGAGCAGAAACATTTACATATCTAAAAAAAAAAGAGTTGATGTTTCTAATAACACTTTTGCCTAAACTCAAGGCCTCACTGACACAACTTCTGTTGTCTTTTTGGATCACCTTCCTTTCAGAGAGGAGCGAACTGCCAATACCCTTTGCTGGGAATGTCCCTAAACCCAGGACGGGACACATCAGAATAGAAGATGATTTGCTCAACGTCCCTCAAAACTACTGTCAGCTCAGTAAGTAAACTAAGAGGGATGATTTAAGATGTAGGATGGTAAGGGAGTTCAAATGAGACTTAAGAGTGGAAAGGAGCAGGCGAAAAGGAGTAGGGAGGGTAAACAACGCACCAGGGGCGGGAGTGGGAACTGAGGTCAAGGAAGTGGGGTCAGCGAAAGGCAAAGGTGAGGGGCGGGAACAGGACGAGGTTCGGGGTGGGTTGGGCGGGAGTAAGGCGCCAGGGACGCGCGAGGGCCGAGCGAGGGCCGCGGGGAGAAGGGGGCTGGGGCGGAGCGGGAGGGAGCGAAGAGGCGGGATGAAGTGGGGCAGGCCGGGATGGTCTTTACCTGCAGCTCCGCCCGCTCCACCTCCCACTGGGCTCTCTCCACCTCGAAGCGGGCCCACTCGTGCTGCAGGAAGTGCAGTATCCCCGGGAGGCTGTACTGGGCTCGGGCCACCCCCGCCGCAGCCGCCCCGTCGCCGGCCGCGGCAGCTTCTGCCAGAGGCCCAAGCCCCTTGGCACCGCCGGCGCCCGGGTGGTTGTTGCTGAAGAAGACGCCGGGACCCGCCTGCTCGTCCATGGCTGCCGCAAAAGCCGGGGAGCTGCCCAGGCGCCCAGCAGCAGAGGCAACGGAGGCGGCCAGCAGCACCTCCTCCTCCCTCCGCCGCTCCCCGCCCACACCCGTCAGCAGGGAGCAGCGCCTGGGCGCGGGGCCGCGGAGCCCGTGACGGGCCGGGAAATGGGTCAACTGCGGCGCGCGGGCGGCGCGGGGCTTGCTGGGAAATGTAGTTGCGGAGCGTGGCGCAGGGCGAGCGCGGCGAGGCGGCCTTTCAGGCTGCGGCTGGTCCGGGGTGTGGCCGCGTCCCGCCCGCCAGCGGAGATGGGGGCTGGCGGGGCGGGGAGTGCTGCTTTCCTCTCGAGTCGGGGCCGGGCGCAGTTGGGCAGCGCTCCAGCCTCACTCGCACGCGGAAGTTCTAAGGCGGCGCTCCCTGTTGCACACACACATACACACGCGGAAGTTATCACGCCAAAACTACCAGCTCGAGTTGCACATCTTTTAGTGCTTCCTGATCTGTTAAGAAACAAGCTTAAAGCGAGCTACGGCGGTCCGGCGCCTGGACTGGTCTCCACCCAGCTGACCAGCCCATTCCCTTCGGCTCCGACTTGGACGTTTCTCTGAGCCGAAACTCTCCTCCACTCTGGCAATCTGCATATCGCTGTCGCTTTTGCCTCTCTTTTTCACTCCGGGGTTCAAACCTGTTTCCTGATCTTTTTTCACTTGTAAGGAGCTCTAGTCACCTCTCTCCTATACTCAACGCAGCATCTTTCCACTTCTCTCTTCCAGATCCTGGTTTGTTGACGCCTCATCTGTAGTCCTGTAAAAGTTTCAGATATCCAAGGCTCTCTGATGTCTTGTTCTGCTTTTTTTTACCTTATCCCACAGTTTTTTACTCAATTCAACAAAATTCTAGATTGCTAGTTATATCCCACACTGGGGATGTAAATAAGACATAGTTCCTGTTATCAAAGGAAGATTGGCATATACATAACCAGTTCTCACAGTACGTCAAAGCTGCACTACCTGAAAAAACAAAAGTCCCTTTCTGCTCTCTACAGCTGTTTTAGGTATCCAGGCGTTTCTCCTTTTTCGTTAGTCCCGTGCCGGTTTCTTTCACCATTCACCTGCAAACTGGCAACAGTATTAGCCTACCAAAGGTACACCAAGTTCCTTTCCTTTTAAAAGTTTCTGCTTTGTTTTTCTTCTCCGAAGTCTCTGTTATTATGTGACTACAAATTCACACTACAACAAAAAATTTTAGCAAATGAAATTAAACCCCGATTTTGTCACCCGAACAAGTTATTTGCAATTCTTTTGTTTTGTGGGATGAAAGTCTGGGATATGAGATCTAATGACCGTGAAAAAACGTAAAGATACAGGCTGGTGAGTGACATGTAAGGGAAGGACATCCTGTCCCTGTCCTCTCCTCCACCCCTTCCCATGGATGCTTGAGGGAAGGACAGGAAACACATTGTATTTATTCTGGTTGCAAAAAGGATGGTGGCAAGCTTACTTCTCACAAGTTATTGCATGTTTCTGCTTTATGAATTCAGTCTTTATTATGATAAAAAATGGATCCAAGCCTGGCCAAATTCCCTGTCATAAATTATTTTGATTTTTAGTGTCCTTTGAGACAGAGGCCAATCCTCTCATTTTACAGCTTAAGAAACCGAAGCCCAGAGAGGCTAAGAGACTTGTCCACAATGAGGCCTTTAGTAAGTGGCACAGCCAAAAGTAAAACCCAGATTTCCTGACTGCTATTCTAGTCATCCTTTCATTAACTCATTGCCTCCTCTTGTATTCCTTCTTAGACCTACCAGAATAGGAAAGAGACAAATTATACAGTAATGGCATGTTTTGTCATCTCGGTGATTTAAGTGATCTTATGAATTTTGTATGTTAACAACTATCTTTTTCTCTACCATGTCTGAGAATTCTTTTAAATCAATTAATAACAGGCTATAAGACAATCAAATTTATACATAGCCTAGACTATCACACATATATAAAAGCACCGTTTAAACTCATAGTTTAGTGACATTATTGCTTACAATACTATTATACCTTTTTGCTTTTTAAGGACTTATATTAAGATGGAATTATAAAGAAATGTACTTTACTTTTCTCCTTTTCCAAAAACTTCCATAATGTGGTAAATCTCTTTTTAACTTAAAAAAAAAAAAACCATTTTTAAAAAAGTTCTTCCCTTGCAGTTCTTTTGCCCTGAATTGCTTTAAGAGAGTAATTTCCTCCCATAATGAAGGAGGGAAGCCCTGGTAATGCAATGGTTAAAAGCTCAGCTGCAACCAAAAGGGCTGGCAGTTTGAACCCATCAGTTACTCTGCTGGAGAAAGACGTGGCAGTCTACTTTTGAAGAGTTTTACAGGCTTGCAAACCCTATGGGGGAGTTCTACTCTGTCCTATAGGGTCGCTATGAGTCAGAATCAACTCAAAGACAACAGGTATACTGAATCAGCTTCTGGAGTAATGGGCTTAGTGGTGTTTTTTGTTTTCTTTTTCTAGTTTGTGCTTATCTGTGTTTTCAAATTTTCTGTATTCAGTATGAATTACGTTTTTTAAACAAACATTTTGTGGAGGTGTTATGGATTGAATTGTGTCCCTCAAAAATATGTATTGTAAATCCTTATCCCTATACCTGTGGTTATAATTCCATTTAGGACTGTGTTTTCTTTGTTATGTTAATGAGATAGTGTAGAGTGTGTCTTAAATCAATCTCTTTTGAGATATAAAAGAAATTAAACAAGGAAATGAGCAAGCAGAGATGGGAGAAGATACCAAGCCACATGAAGATCACCAAGGAGCAGAAGTTCAGAAGGGACAAGGACCTTTCTCCAGAGCCAACAAAGAAACCCTTCCCCTAGAGCCGGCACCCTGATTTCAGACTTGAAGCCTCTCAAACTGTGAGAAAATAGATTTCTATTTGTCAAAGCCATCCATTTGTGACATTTCTGTTATAGCAGCACTAGATAACTAAGACAGAAAGTATAACAGAAAGCTGCACAAATGTTAAGTGAACACCTCGATGAACTGTCACGAACTGTAACCACCACCCAGATCAGGAAATAGAGCATTACAAGCACCCAGGAACCCCTCTCCCAGTGTCCTCTCAGTCACAACAGCAAGAATAACTTTCTAATTTGAAAAAAAAAAAAAAGTTTAAAAAAAATTAATGATTGGAAAGAACATGGCATTTGTAATCAGTCAAGCTCAAATTTTCTTCCTGGTGCTACAATTTTCCAAATCTGGAAACAAGGGTAAATGGTTTAACTTCTTTCCTGCCTCAGTTCTCTGATTTTTAATATAACCCACTGCCATCGAGTGGATCCCGACTCATTGCAACCACATAGGGTTTTCAAGGCTGTAAATTTTACAGAAGCAGACTGCCACAACTTTCCCCCACCGAGCTGCTGAGGGTTTTGAACCATCGACCTTTTGGTTAGCAGTCAATCATTTTAACCACTGTGCCACCAGGGCTTCTCATGATTTTTAATATGGGAGCAATATTTACCTTATAGAGTTACTGTGAAGATTAAATGAGAGAAGACAAAAATCCCCTAACAATTGTCAGACATAATATACTGAAAAATGATAGCTATTATTGTAATAGAGTTCACAAGATGAAATGAACACAACAGACTATTGGCAAATACTGGAGGCTCAATGGTTATTCTTTTTTCCTTTCTCATTCCCTATTCAGAACTTTAATTCAGTAGAGTTAAAATAATCTTAAACATTAAGCCTCAGACTTCAGGGTTGCTGATTTCCTGATCTTTTCATTTTATAATTAATAAAGCCTAAGTGACACAGAAAGGGGTTCCCTATCTAAGAACAGAGAGCACCTGTCGAAATGTTGATTTATCTATCAGAATAACCAGTTTAAAGTAAAAGATTGTGAAATGCTAGTAGGTTATTTAGATAATGGAGTGTTTGCTATTTTTTGGTTTACGTGTGTGCGCTTTGGTGAGGATGGGGATTGTTGCGGTGCAGTCAGGTACTTAATATAGCCCTTCTAGCCATAGTCTTTGTGGCTCCCACACAATGATTGAGTGGCGCTGTGCAAATAAGGTGTATGGAACCCTAACAAGGTGTGGTGGTTGGTGTTGTGTGTTGACCTGGTGAGATCATGATTCCCAGAATTGTGTGCCTGTCCTCTATTTTGTGATCTGATGTGATTATTCTAATTATCCTCCATTTTATGTGTTGTAAATCCTAAACTCTATATGTTAATGAGGCAGGATTAGCATGAGGTGTATCTTGAGTCACAGACTTGCAGGAGGGCATGACTCAAGTCCCACCCTTATTCAAGTCACACCTTTCCCTGAGGTGTAGCCTGCATCCAGTATATATATGTGAGTGCTCTGGCAGGGCTCTCTCTCTCTCTCTGTGTCTGGATCCTGCGTCCGGCTCTTCACTCTCTGATCTCTACTTCTTGGGATTTGAGCCAGCAGCCTGCCATTTCACTTGCCAATTCAGGGATTCGCCAGTTTCCACAGCTAGTGGACCAGCAGCCTATCATTTGAACTGATTCACCAGCTTCCACATGCTTGTGAGCCAGCAGCTTGTCATCTGGCCTGCCATCTTGGGTTCATTGGCCCCTTCAACCATGTGAGTCAGGAGAAGCCTACACCTGACCGATGAATTTGGGACTGGACAGCCTTCACAGCCATGTGAGCCATTTCCTTGATACGGTTTGTGAGTTCTGTGAGACATTGCAGCAAATTATGGCACCCAAAGACAGGTGGGAGAGTACTGAGGGGAGGAGGAGGAGTTGATGTTAGAGATGAATCAGTGGTACAGCAATTTGGAAACACTGGACATTTGGGACTGATATTTAACTTCTGCCTCATAAGAACCAGCTTTGTGCTGATTCCAGAAAAATTTTCCTTGTGTGTGATATTAATGATACTGTTTGATAATTTCACATTCTGTTGGATTACCTTTCTTTGGAATGAGCACAAATACGGATCTCTTTTGGTCAGTTGGCCAATTGGCTGTCTTCTGTATTTCTTGGCATAGATGAGTAAGCACCTCTAGCGCTGCATCTATTTGTTGAAACATCTCAGTTGGTATTCTGTCAATTCCGGGAGTCTTATTTTTCACCAATGCC